AGATATTAAAATTTTGCTCAACTACTACGCCATAGTCACTGCAATTTGCGTCATGTAATTCATTGGAGTACGCTGCCGATTTACATGCTAAATAACAAGCAAACATATGTCTGTGTTTACCAGAAACCAATTACATACATACATATTTGAATAGTCCCACACACACTCATACATACAAAATGTCCTCAAGAACACACACACACATATATAGTTCGAGCGGAAGTCAACAAGTTTAATGAAACTCACCACAAATCAAATCAAGTGTACGACGACCACCACAACTATCTGTTGCTCGCTCACAACCTGTGGTGTTAGGTGAAGCGTTATATGTTGTCAACATGTTGCGCAGCACGAATACACGATTCAAATACTCGTACACATGTATGTATGAATGAATGTCTACGGATTCCAGCTTCTTTTTCGTGTAGTTGTTCGTTTTCCGATAAACATGAAACACACATGCACGTCCATGTATAAATTCCGAATTCTAAGCACACTGACAACCCCGCTGTTTAATTGGCTTAGTGATATGTGCACCAGGCACACTTTTTATCCAGAGTTGGGTGTTCAGTGCAATTCTGTAAGTTTTTTCTATGTTCCCAATAAATATCAGTTCCATTGAAACTAATATGTTTCATATAAAAATTAAAGTTTGTAATAACTTTTTCATAAATATCGACTACTTTATTTTGGTCGTTAACTTATCGAATGTTTTCCGAAATTTGTAGTTAAGCAGTTACAGAATAGCACTACAATACCAACATATTTGGCCCAACTAATATCTTGTTTTGATTTGAAGTTAATTAGAATCATAGAAATTCTTTTTAAAGGATGCCAACACTTTTTTATCGAAAATAAATGAGTTAACAAAAAACAGAACATTTTTAAAATCTTTGAGGAAATAAATAATAAATCCCAGTCCATACTAAAGCATTGTCATGAAACAAATTACTTTAAGACCATTCTCAATTACGTAATTATGGAATGATAAATAGAAATATTTAGTGTGAAGTTTAATTTAACTCGAAATACACTAAAGCAACTGAAATTGCAAAGATAATAAATGTAGTATAACTTGTTTTTAAATAAACATATTGTGTTTGTTTTTTATTTTAATTTTTTTTTTATTTTAAACTCAAAAAACATGATTTTTTGAGTTATATTGTGACAGCTGCAAAAGAACATAAGTTCGTACTGATCAACAAATTGTCAGAGAAGTTAAAAATACCATCAAAAAAGTCCTTTTATTGCTGATCTAAAGGCTCAGACAAAAAAATGATCGTGAGAAGGTAAACAAATTAAAAGTTAAAGCCGCAATATCGCAAGGGTGCTGGGAAGTATGAAAATGGGTGTATGAAAATAGGTAATAGATCAAATTGTTTATACAAATGTGTTGAAAACGTTATGCTTCCCATCGCTGAAGAAAATATACCGCTTTGTTGGGCCTTCCAGTCTGTCAATAACCTCAAACATACTCCGAATTTTTTCCAAAACTGGTTTGAGGGGTCAAAAATCAGGATTTTATAATGACCAACACAATCATCAGATCTTAAAAGAGATTTACAAACAGACAAACTATTACTATTTATTTCCTTTCCCTACAGGATTATTTTTATGTAAGTTGCTTTGGTTTTGAACTGATTTTTTTATAAACGTTATATGTAGTAGTATGTTAGTAAAAATATTACAATAAGCAATTTATGAATCAAATCAATAACTTATATTACATTTAAAAGCGCAATAGCTAGGCTTCGACATGACCGGTATTTTATTAATGATATCTTTTGACCAAATTGTGATAGATTCTTCCAATGTGAATTTAGTTTTCCGGTTCTAGATATTTTGAAACCCACAAGTAATCAGATTTGTATAGTACAAATCAGCGACGTTGGCAGAGGTGGGGCCCGGAAATAGTGTATTTTAAATTTGTTTGCAACACCTTGAAATATTCACCTTGGATCATATTTATTCTTAATCAAAATAAAATTCTATTCTATTAAATAACGATATAGCTTGCAATATTGATGACAGATCTTTGAAATGTTGCACATTGCAAGTGCTCCTAAGATGTTAGGTATGGAAATGCGATATACAGTTGCGAAAAATAAAATAGCACCAACAATTAATGTTAAAAAAATTGAGGAACGTTTTATGGGCAGATGAAAGTAAGATTGGGGCAAAACGTTCTCGAGCCCATGTCAGACGACCACTGAATGCAGAATATGATCCAAAATATACGATCAAAAGAAATAAACATTGCGGTTCAAGTGTAATGATATGGACATGCTTTTCGTATTACGGGGTAGGGTCCATACATAATATTAATGGACCAACTTGTTTATGTTGACATATTCGAAACAAAATAATGTTACCGTATGCAGACTACGATATAACGATGTTACCGTATGCAGACTACGATATACCATTGTCATGAGTCATCCAAAAAGACAATGACCCCAAGCATACAAGCAAGAAAGCCAGAAATGGTTTTGTGACAATCATCGAGAATTTATGAACTGACATAAAAGGGGAAGTAGCAGTTGCCAAACTTACAAGCAACGAGACACTTTGGGATATTGTCAAAAAGGCCTGAACAAAAATCCGCCTAAAGCGATGCCAGGTTTTGGTAAACACGATACCGAGACATTGCGCAGCCGTAATAGCCAATAAAGGACATATTACTAAATATTAATATTCTTGAAATTTTATCAAGTCATTGTGAGAAACACAAAACAATTGATCTCATATCGTTTTACGTTTTGGTGCTATTTTTTCTTTCGTTTTAAATGTTAATTTTCACTTATTTTTGTTTAATAAATAAAAACTGTCAATTATAACGAGTATATACTTTTCATTTATATAGATTATAAATATTTTTCTTTTAAAAAATATACATTCCAAAGTGGTTCAAACATAACAACAAGTTAATACACCATTCTAAGTATTGCATGTAGTGGTGGTGCCATTTTTAATTTTTCGCAGCTGTATCTGTCCTTTTTAGGGTAGACCCAAACGAATTGGTTCAAATTTGATTTTTTGAATTTTCATGTGAAAAAATCTCCCGACCAAAATAGCGGTACCTCAATTATTCAGTGTTTTTTTTTAACCGAATTTGATATTTTGGATTCTCATTAGGCAGAAAATCTTCCTAACAAGAACTATCAATATTTGTCCATGCTTCGGGGTAGCCTCCAGAGACAGTTTTTAATTGAATTGATTGTAATATATGTTTTGTGGTACTTATGCAGAAAACTATCAATCTAAATCAATGTTTGCTCATAGCCTTCGTATTAAAGTACCGACCTATATTCGGTATTTTGAGAAGTTTAACCGCATTCTCTGGAATTTACGCGGTCATTTTTCTAATTTCTATAGTTTGCGTACTTATACGGTCTTCAACCAGTTTCTCACCAAAGTAGGCAGTAGTTTAAAAATATGTTTGCTGAAATTTTTCGATGTAAAGTGGGACACTACTCATTTTCGGTACTGTCAAGTGGCTTTATTTTGGCATTCTGGATTCTGCGTGAATAAAAAACATCTTTCCAGAAAGTTTCAAATTTAGATTCATGATTTTTACATTACTCCCACACAAACGAAATATGCGAAAAATTCTAAGAACATTCAAAAAATTGTTTTTGATGCTAAACGAGTTTAAAAAGTACTAAATGTAGCACTAATAGCCCTAAAAAGTAACACTATAACCACCATAAAACCATGAATACTTTAAGTTTTATACATGGAGAAAATTAGAGAGAATAGAGAATAGATTAACATTTCTTTTTGTTTCGCAAACGCTGCGATGATTTATATTCCTTAAATCAATTTAGTTTCATTTTTATATTTTTTACTTTTATAATTATAAATGCTATACTCCCATCTCTGGTGCTAGCTGTGTTTCTGTTCAAACAACTTTATTATTGGTCCTTATGTTATCGTTACAATTTCATAATATTTCTATTAGAATATTCCGCCTTCTTTCCAACTAAACAAGATACACTCAGTGAACAACTCCTGGTAGGGAACACCGAATGAATGAATGAATGAAAATACATCAACATGTTGTTCGGCTCGGCTATGTATACGAGTGTGTGTACGCTTGTTTGTACACTGTACATTTTTAATGTTGTTGCTGTTTGTGGTTTTTTGTCTGGTGCTGGTGTTGGTATTTTGACGCAGCCGTTTTTTCTGCTTAGCTGAAGACTCTTGATGGCCCCAAAGTTTGTATAAAAAGCAGTGGCCACTTGTGAATGATGCCAAGTTAACAACTCAATTTCCTAGTGTTTACATCAAGAGACCGGTGTTAGATTTGAAACCATTCAATCCAATATCACAAGGATTTAGTCCCTCGTATAACAGCACAGAACGACAATTCAAAACGTACGTATCACAAGTGATTTCGGATATAAGTGAAAATATTAAATTTATTCGATTTTGAAAAAAAAAAACATTAAAATTGAAATACAAATTTTGAAAGATTTAAGAATAATAACTACATCAGAAATGCTATTACGAAAATTGGCGCAGTTAAAAAAATTCAAAATTGTATAATATATTTTTTTATAAATAAATATATCACCAATGGTATATAATTACGTGAGAATATGGAACTGAATAAATGGTTTCAAAAATACGTAGTCCTGCCCCACTCTACGAAACAATTTACATCCGCTGTGGATTTGGTCTCATTGTTGACATTTTTTGGAAAGGACATTTTTTGTGTTCTCATTTGTTGGTATCTAATTATATCTAAGATACTAAAAGTTCGATAGGGTTTGTGATTTTCAAAAAAAAAAGTTTTAGTACCGATAAAATAAAATTTGGAATCAATTTTGTTGTGTAATATGTTTCTTAGTCTCGATCACCGATAGCTGACCACGTCCATCTTATAAATTAGCATTGTTTATATTTCATATTCTGTCCATTTCGAACTATTTGAAAGGCATTTCAAAGTTGAAATTGTCTTTCTGCTTTAAATTTCTTTGGCAAAAAGAACGCCAAATATGGTCGTGGTCGACAAATATGGTCGTGGTAATATCCTACATGTACATGTAGGTACAATCTACTCTACATCCACTATTACTCTCCTTATAGTTACTGAGGGTATAAATATATTTGTGCTTAATCGAAATTTTGTTTAAGACTCCGATTAACAAATGTACGTCTGTCTGGCTAGTGCATACGATAACTCTGGAAGGATGTAACCGATTTTCATTAATACACCGTAATATTTCTTCCAAATTTTGGTACCTCATCCACAAAGGGTCAACATCTGGAAATTAAAATCTAATATGAATCGAACAGAATATCAAATTTGATTCACCCTTTAAAAATCCTAATTTTTCTAAACCTAGATAAAATCTAAAGATGGGACGTGTTGGTCCACTCCTTCTAGTACCTCCCACACAAAGGGTCAGAATATCGAAAATTTTTTAATATATACAATTCGGAATATCCAATTTCATCGAAACTTTGTCATACTTTTACTAAATCTTGACGAAGTCCTAAGATGGGAATCATCCCACCACTCCTTGTGAAATTTTGAAATATCACGCGAATGAAGTATAAAAAACATATTTGATAAAAAACATATTTAAAGAGAATAGTAAAATCTGCGTGTAACACCGTAGACCCCCGCAAACCATAGCCTGAAGGTATGAATCTGTCGGTAATACCGATTGACACTTTTTTTATTTGTTTAAACACATTTAATTTGAAAAACCATTGAGCGAAGTAGTATATTACCAACTACCATTGAACTTCCACTTTCTAACTATCACTGAACTTTAACTTCTTATCCAAATCAAAGCCTGCCAGCCTTCTGCGTTATTGTGTGATAATTGTAAACCTCCTAATTGGATGTAGAATCCTTTATAAATTTCAGTACATGTTCAATATGCTGTTTCTTACATCAATAGAATTGATACTTCTCATTCATACTCTGACAACTGTTCCGAATCATGCCTTCATGGAGTTTATATATACGCCAAAAGTTTTTTGCTTTATTTGATCCATGAAATATTAATATATTATTACGAAAACTTCGGCGTTCGGCCTCTGGGTAATATACACGCAAAATTTCGTGACAAATTAGCCTGTACTTTGATTGCAAATTGTATTGTAATGGACAAACGAACACACGTAGCTAAATCGATACTAGGGATATGTCGTTTTTTAGACTTCTCGATTTTGTCAAACCTGTTCAAAATCGATTTTCGACTTTTACCGACCAAATTGTTGTCAACTGATAAAATTACGTTCTACAATGTGCAGTTTTTGGGTAATTTGGTCTTTGGGATATAAAACCAAGTATTTATAAAGAAAATCGAAAAGTCGACCTTGCGATTTTATACATTTATACATATTAATAAAATGTGTACATATTATCTAATGCACGAAGTATCATATCAGACTCCGTTTAATCCCCCTCTAAAGAAAGTGTACTTAAATATTTTTTTCTCAAAATAAAATGAAAGTTTTATGAACAATATTAAAATTGTAATTGTTTTCTATTTCTTATGTGGTCAGAGGATTAAGAATTTATTTTTTTAATTGTTGTTATAAAATTCGTCATTATAATTTAGATGGAAATATCAACAACACGAATAAAACACGTGCCCTTTTAAAGTATAATACGTTCACAGAATACAAGAGAAGGATAATAAAACATAATCACAATGTATGTTTATATGTGTACTTTACGAAAGGAAGAACACTTGCGATAAATAAATAAATCACAAAAAGGTTGTAATAACATTAAGGTTTAAAGTTTGGAAAAATAAGTTTTGATGAAAAATTCATCCAGACGATATTCCAACTCATCCATCCTCGATAGACCTTTCTTTATTGGGATAGGAAATTACAGTTCTATGTAATAATACACATATTTAAAGTTTAATATACACTGGATTTGTACCTACTTGCTTTGGTTTGGAAAATTGCATCCATTTTAATTGCTTCTAGTAATGCATCTCCGTTTTATTTCCTTAACATCTAATTAGGAATTTACTATGTGTGACAATTAAAACAGAAGATAACAGATAATAGCTGTGTTCCAGTAGGTATAAGAATCCACACGCTTTACGTTTTTTTTTATTTCTTCCAACAAACACGGTGATTTTCCTTAGATAGTTAGTTGTTAGCCATTCAATTAAATTGAACATAGAGATAACATAAATGACACTTCATCCTTTTGCCATATAAAAGCCATACTGGAATACCACCAATATATAAATATTGTAATGCATTTTAGTTCAAGTAGTAACAGTGTACGTATGTACATGTATATGCCAGTGTACAACAATTTTATTACGGCAATAAATTATGTTTTTAGTGTTAATTAGAAATTTGATAGGAAAAAAATATAAACAGTCCGAAACAGCAGAATGAACGATACTGGCGGTAATATTGTGAATAGCAGCAAATGGATTAAATTGTCATAGCGTCGTTGGAGCAATTGTGGTACTAATTTAAATTATAAAAAAGAGGCAAGGGAATTTGCATCGAATATTCGGGACGATACATACTGGTTCCTAGATATTCATATATTCGTAATCTTATCTTTAGAATTATATGATCCTTCCCAAGCTAGAATTATACAATCGTTGCCCTATTTTGTAAAATATTTTAATTCCGTGTATTGTCATGTATATTTTAGCACGTGTCAAGAATAATTATATCTTTAACCTTTTGACGTTCGTGACCATAGAAATACTTTCTGTGCACAGGTTTAATGCAAACTGTGAGGTATTTTGTGCTTTTGGCAATGCCTTAGCTGCTTCTCTTTTTCTTTGATGAACCTGTAATTACAGCTGCCATTTTTTTTTGTAAAGTTAGTCAGCTTTAGCGTAAAAATTATGTTTTGTGAGGATATCCACCGTAATACTGAACGATGGCTATCCTTACAAAACATAATTTTATATTTGTAGCAAATTCATTATAACTAAATTAAAATATATGCAAAATGAAAGATGGAACCGAATATATGAGTCGTTTATTTTGAACGTTTTTTAAGTCCATTTTATTTTTCTATTGAGATATTTAATGTATTGTGTTTGGTTTGTTTCAATAATATTGTTAAGTGACATTCAACCTTATTACGGTTGTCGAAGTCGTGTTGAAAATTTGGCACTGTCGTATTTATACGACAAATCGGTATTATGAAAGGCGTTACAATACGCCGATTTTGTCTTGAAATATTTTTTTTTGACGACAGCTACAGAAAAAGAAATATATAAATGTGTTAAAATTGCATTTTAACAATATTTACTGATTAACTGTAACATTAGACTTTATTTTATTGCATTTCTCAATATTTATTAGAATTACAATTACCAGAAAATTAATTAGAAAGCAAACAGAATGACATAGTTTTTCCAATAAAATATAAAAAAGGTTCTAAAAGTACAATTTTTGCTTTGGTTTTGTAATAGAGTAAAAGAAAAATCTATTACAAAATTTGGCGTTGTCGTAAATTTTATACAATACCGACCAAAAACGACTACGACAACGCATTCGACTACGCCTACGAGAGCTGCCGTACAACGACTACGCCTACCGTAATAAAGTTGATTAATTTTGCTTAAAGCTTTGCGCCGTTCACCATGTTAGAAAATAGAATATAGTAGAAATCGAAGATGTGTACCAAAATCTGAAAAGGACTTAAACTACTTTCAAAATAAACGACTCATATACTCTAAAAACTTCGGGACCAGAAAATGTTTTCGCTATAATGTAATTTGGACACTGTACACATTTATATTGTATATATATATATATATATATATATGGGCACTTCCGCAGTCACTTACACGACTTTCAGAGGCAAAATCAAATTTTAAATCTTAAATAAATCGAAAATAATTACATTTTTTACAATTCTCCCTTGATACTTTTTTGTAGAAGTTTAGGAGTACTATCAGTGGTAAAAAAATTGAGAGCCTCTAGTTTTTAACTTTTGAGATAAAAGCCACAAAAGAGCAGTCACTCACGCGACTTCAAATATACATGACTATAGACATCACTACTAATAATGGGAAAACTCTGCGAATTGTGTGAATATTTTATACTTTTAATATTCTTTACATGAATAAGAGATACCAAGCATTATTATTTGACTTTCAAAATTTCAAAATATGCCATATCCTTTATTTGCGAAGGATTTTTCTCGGTCACTCACGCGACATAACTCACGCGACATTGTTGATTTTGCAGTTTTTATTTCTGCAGTGTCTGTATTTTTAGTCATTAGAATAGTATTTATGCTAAGAACGTATTTAAGCACAATTAAAGAAATAAATTCTACGACTTTGGTTTACCTTTTTGCGGAAGTGCCCATATATATATATATATATATATCAGCTGCATCATAAAAGTAAGCTCCAAAACAAAAGGATTAAATGATTAGTAGAATTAAAACCTTTGAGTACAAATTTAAATAAACTACACTGTACACAATAAATTTGTAGATATATCATCAGGTCTTAATATACCTAATGTCAAAAAATATATATTTACAGGCTGAGTATGTCCTGATTTATATTAGGCGAGTTTACTTGCGGCAATTTTTCTCGTTCTCTTTTGAACTTGCTTCATTCGTCTATACAAGGCAAGTCGATTTCAACAATTTTTTTTTTACATTTTGTGACAATGTTCTGGATTGGTATTTCAAATTACTGACACTACAAACAAAATACACAAAACGAATTGAAAGAAAATTGCCGGTACGAGCAATTTTTTCCAATTTCTATTCCCTTTACCCCTCTCTCCTTCAAACAAAGACTTGCCGCAATTAAACTCGCCTAATATAAATTGGGACTAATAGATATAAGCTCCAAAACATTTTGTTGTATGTAGGTAACATTGAGCCGTAACGGAATAATGAGTTCTAATTCCTACACAGTCGAAATACTATCGCTTATAGCGACCACTTTTGCCTGTCCCTTGACCGTCTTTATAAGCGATTTCAACAGGACACATTTGCTTTAAAAATATGTTTTATTTTTTGTTGTTTGTCTTTTGTTTCATAATCTATCTAAGTACATTTATTTAAAATTCTATCTGTAAATGTAGTTTCCGTAGGCTATTTGATTTAATATGATGAACGAACAACGCGTTTCTTTAAACGAAATTATTGCAATTTTCTAAATTTAAATAACTGTTTTCTGAAATTACCGGCTCAAAATTTAATATATTTCCAAAAAAAAATAAAATTCTAAAGTCTCGTTTCACTAATTCCGAATAGACACGAACCTCTGAGTAGGAATTTAATTCACGTGATATTTTTCTTCTCAAAACATCAGTAATTATCACTCCCACAGGTTGTGTTCGTTCCATTGTATATAGTGTCGCAATGTTTGTGCAGCATTAGCAACATGTTGCTGGTGTCTAGTCGAAACATGTTCGAATGTCTGCGATGACAGACTGTGATTAATTACTGTGACATCAACTGAAGTCGCCGGAGTACGGGATTAAGGGAGGGGTCTGCACTGGAGGAGACACAGTATAAATCCTAAATCAAATTTATTTTCACACCCAAAATCAACAGTTTTTATAATGACGGCATTTCTGTTAACAACTTCAAACAAAAAAAAAAATAAAGTATATCATGTCTACTGCTTCTTATTATTTTGTTCTTTCAATTTAGAAGTGGTATTAGATTTCGTTTTATGTTTGATGGGCACTTGTTTTTAATCCAGCGTTTCTATTTTTCATTTATTTTTTTTCCTTTGTATACTGCAGACATCCAAACAAATAATAGAAAAGAAAAAAAAAAAATAAAATTTTAAGCCTTGTGGCTACTTATTTCATTTATAATGAAACAAGTAGCAATGAGTTGGCGATGGCCATGGCCACGCATCTGACGTCTATTACATGCGTATGCGTTGCCATCAACATCAAGATTGCACGAATTGTGTGCTAGTGTTTGAGATAATGTGCTATAGTTCATAGTGTACAGGGTACCAAAGGTGTCCAATTTCACCTGTTGGCCATTTCATCGATATGGGCAACAGAATTGAAAATTAAAAAAAAAAAACACACACACATTTTGCAACTCAATTTATTTTTTAAATCCCATCGGTGAGACGTGAAGGTATTGCAAATAGCCGCAAAGGTAAATTGCAGTTCACAAATAGTAAACATGTGTAACATAAACAATATATTTCCTATGTGGCAGATGACATCGATAACGTGACATATTTCGCTAATATGTGTACTAATTGTTTAAGGTATACACTTATTCATTTAAGTTTTATCCGTCAAAGATTAAAATTACCAATAACCTCGATTATTAGTCTTGATTTACATTAGGCCCAGCTCCTCCGTTTTATTTTGGTTCACAAATTTCTTCTGATTTATCAGCTAATGTTTAAAATTTTTTCATTTATCCGGAGTTGTTTTAAAAGAAACATGATCTATTGGAAGTATTATCGTTTTCAGTTAACCGATTTTTCATTTGAACGGAGTTTAAAGTTAAAAAATTAATAATTATTCAGTTTAAACATTTTTTTTAGTAAAACAGGGTTTTCAGATAAACGGTTTGCAATTAAGCGAATTCGACTATAGATCATATTATATTATATAGATTAAATGAATCGGTCTAATTTCGCATATGGAAAATATTAGGGCGGAGAAAAAGAAATCAATTATTTTTTCGGTAGATGGCTGTACTGATATATTTCTCGTAAGGTATCGACCATCGCAGTAAAAAAATTATTTTGCTATTATTTTGCTATGGATTCGTAAACTCCGTTCAGGAATTTTTGATGTTAAAGATGCACCTCCCTCATGTAGGCCGGTCGTCGAAAATGCCGATAAAATTGGAGTAATGATCGAAGTTGACCGAAGTTGTTAGCATTCGTAAGATCGCCCAGGAGCTAAAAATCGTCTATAACTGCTTTAAACCAATTACAAAAAAAAAAAAAAAATAATAATAAATAAATAATAATAATGGATTTCTTTTTCCCCCTAATATATGCTTTTTTACCGTGCCTGCTCCAAAAGTTCTGCTCGGCGTGTTAACATTAAATGACTTTCTTCAAACTCATCAAAGCATATAGCAGTTGGAGAACGCTTTTAAAGGATATGCGACTGCCAGATTACTTAGCTGACTTGATACAGAACATTTGTTCCATAAGCCAAACTTAGAATAGATTTCCAGGCGCAGCTCTTCTAATTCGAATCACCATGTTTCGAGATGATCTTTCGGATAATCTTTCTCTTAAACACTACAAGAGCCGCCTCATCTGCATGCATAATTACCCATACTTCAGATTCATACAACAGCACGGTAATATCAGGGTATTGTAGAGTGTGAGTTTGGTTTGGCGAGATGTGGCATCTGTTGGCCAACACTATTCTCCTCCGGATTTCAAAGCTGATGTTATTTATGGCGGTATCGAGGTATATAAAATTGTTCTCGACCTCAAAGCTGTAGTTTTCATGTTCCACAGTTGGTCCGAGTCTACTTGACGTCTTACGCGTTGATACCATCATCTTGGTCTTCTCGCCATTTACTGCCAGAACCACTTTGGCAGACTATTTATCATTTCGCTCAAAGGTGTCAGTTACAACCTAACATATGCTGTTCACATTGGCATCACGTATGACATTTCCAGCAGGATGTTAAACAGATCACACGACAAACTTGTCTGAATCTTCGTTAATTTTGCAGGAATGTCAAACGGTGAAATGTGTCGATGTGTTTTTCATGGGTCTTTTCCCTGATTTGGCGCAGTGTGGAAATGTTTTCTATAGTGGATTTGCCAGATCTGAAGTCGCATTGATAAGATCCAATAATATCATTGACCATTAACTTCAGTCGTTCACACAGCACGCTGGATAGCATTTTATATGCGATAGGAAGGGGACTAACGCCTCTATAGTAATGGGAAGAAAAAAATTAAGATATAACGATGACAAAATTGAGAAATTGACATTAGATTTGGTAACTCAGCCATGGAATTGGTATAACCGTAAAAACAGATGATGTCTTCTGTTATGATACTTTGGATATAAACATAGTAGATGCTCAATCGTTTCCGTTCCTTCTTCATCCTCACACAGGCGACAGTACTCCACCTTATTAATTTCCCATTTGGGAGTGAGAGATACAATTCAATGACATGTTACGATTCCTACATGAGAGAAGCCAACGTTTTTAAAAATAATGAAACCTTTCAAGGTTTCTCACGCCAGCTAGTGTCAGTTTTCTCGTAGAAAATCATACGAATTCTACCGATGTAATAGCGAAGTGGGGTTTATCTTTACGGAATATCGATCTACTCCAATCCAGTTGCTGTCGTTATGTCGTGGAATGTAGCAAATGCTTTTATTATTTTAACCTCCTCCATACGTATTGAATTTGTCTTTCCGTTTGCTATACCTCGAAATATTAACCTGATAACCTATAAAGTATATATATATTCGATGCTAGGATGGTTCGTATTTCTCATTGAGCAAAAATTCTCTGTAACAAAAATTATCAATATTCCCCCCGCATTTCGAGTTAGCCGCTACCACTCAATATCAGTTATTGTATTCAGCTGTAATTTTGTATTTTGAATTCTAACTGGGTAGAATTTTTTTGGATTCACAATAATTTTTATTTAGCCCATATTTAATGGTAAGCCCACTAAGGATTTCAAACACTTTTTTGTGTGCGCAATTTAAAATTACACAACAGCTGTACACAACAATTTTATTTAAACTTTACTTATTATACCGAAAAAAAGATGCACTCCATCTTCCGAAATAAATGTGTGGCTATGTCAATTTTTCTTCGAACCAATTTATAACAGTTGGAATAATTCTGTATGTTGAGAATAGTTGTATGTATAAGAAATAAAATGCGAGGCTCAAAGGGTTAAAAATAATTTACTCTTTGATTTTTTTTTTTTTTTTTGGGAAAATGGCTGAAGTTTTGACAGCGTTTCGAATATCATGTTTGAGATATTAATCATGTTTTTAGAGACTATAGTCGCGATGAGCCATAATTGCGCATTTTTCAAAATCCATTAACGTTTAACATTTTTGTTTAGGCATGCCGCTTAATTCTGAGTTAAAATTTAGCTTACGTAAGTGTGTAATATTGTTGTGTCGTTTTAAACATTATCGTTAAACTAGAAAACATTGATTGCAAAGCACCACCCCATCGTTATTATCCTTTAAAAAATTTCCAGGTAATTGTTACAGTTTCGTGTTATTAGGTATCTGCTGCATAACTGCAGATAGGTAATAATCGTTTCTATCGTTCATGTTAATTTTTATTTTAAACATTACTATTAGTCTGGATCACAGGATGCTAATTATTACTGCTGCCATGCATCCGAGCTAATTTGATTTTAATCCCAAAATCCCACAACTAAATATTATCCTGTTGACGTCAATTGTGTTAATGTTTTATTCCTGTTTGTGTGTATGTCTGTCATACATCCACAGTTATCTGGAACATTCAAAGAAAAATTTAGTGTAGGTGGGTAGGTATATCGGATTGCTTATTAAAATGTCCCAGGGTTGGAATGCATGAAATGGATTGCATAAAACGATTCTTTAGTAAAATACATGTTTAACAACGGAAAATGCTGTTGCATCAATTCTCAAGAGGTTTAGTTTCAAAATATACCAAATTAATGTGTAAAGTTATTAAAATCGGATGGATGAAAATTTCAGATACTTAATTGAATTTGGATTCTGACACCATGTGAATTCCATTTTTTTTTTCAATTTACTCCATTAGGAAGAACATAATGGATAAGTAGTATGGATTTTTGAATCAGTAATTATATTCACTTCAATTAACTGCAACTAACATCTACACAAGTTTCCTCTTACTTGCAACATTTTCTGCCACACTGTGGCAATTGTTGAACTGTTTGTATTTTGAATATTTTAGTTTATTGATATTCGTGCGAAAAAGAAAAAATTAAAATTTGTTTGCAAATACAATAAACCTAAATTGAATTAAAATTGTTATTAAATAATTTTTATTTGTAATTTAAAACCATTTCCAGATTATCAAAATGATGAACATTTCGAAGAGCTTTGCCTTGTTTGCAGTTTTCGCAATTACCTTTACGATTGTCGTGATTGAAGCACGCCCACAGAACAATGTTGAAACGGCCCAGGTAAATAATGCAAATCCTTTTTTGTAATCATTCCAAATATTTAATTGTTTCTTTTATTTGTTAATAGAACATGGGCTTGGACTCGGTCGATACTGATGTTGATGACTTGCGTAGTCTATACTATGACCTACCAGTACAGCAAAATATTTATCCCAATTTACCATTGGATCGCTTACAAATGATGATTGCTCAATATCGGCCCACGTAATAAAGAAAATCTTTCTCTTGATTAACGTTCCATTAACATATTTATTATATTTTTTTATTCCAGAGCCTATTTACGATCACCCATCGCCAATGATGTGTATCGTCTGCCAGAATCTAAGCGTCAAGTGAAATACAGGCAGTGTTATTTCAACCCCATTTCATGCTTCAAAAAGTAAATTTCTTAAAACCTCTTAAAACCTGGACCTTGTTGTAATCGCTCTGCATTCAAATCATGGGAAGATACAAAACAAAAAAGAACTCAACAAAAACTAAATTAAATATACATCTTCATTTAGAACTAAGGCAGACCTCAAATTTCCAAAAATCGCTTCAAACACATTTGCTAAAAGTCACAATTACGATATATATATATTTCACCAATCATGCCTACAGCCATCTAATACAATGTCTATGGCATCACATGTACTATCCAAATTAAAAAAGTTATTTATTGAAAGCAACGAAAATCTTTCTTAACAATTTCTTTTGCAAAATGATTAAAAAAAAGAAATAAAAATATATTTGGTATGGTATGCATATGGTGTGTGATACACCTTCCCAAACACTACTTACTTATTGCCTTACCCTGAACCCGTCATTCGTCTATTCGCTACTCAAATGACATGTGGTTCGTTGTAAGTTGTACGTACATATGTATTTAAATATCACACGTATATTGTCCTTATCCACATACATATATATGTTAATAAATTAATTCAAATGTAATGCAAAAACAAAAATACCTAAACAAAAAATATTTGTACAAAATACTTACACATGCACGAGATCCCATCATCCAAAGTTATCGACGGAACCAAAAACAAAACCCATATTGTTGTAAATTAAGTCATTCAATGGAATTACGATGTAATCATTTCATAAAAATTACAATAAATGTTTTAAATTTTAATTGAGACTAAACATATTCGATTTTTAATAAGATTTCGAAACAAAAACATTTCGAGGTTCGGCAAGGAACTTTGAATGTATAACGAAATGGTTGTATCCTTCATTTGGTGTGGTAAAATTCTCGAGACTATCGGACAAGTTGTCGATTTGGACATTTTCACCCGAATTGGCTCTTTAGTATTTTGAATACTCATTGGGTAGGCAAACGCAATACAAAAAAAAAAAAAATTGGTAATATTGGTCTACGTTTCCGAATAGCCAAATTTAGCCACCATATTAAATATGCCCTTCAGTATGCAAGACCTCGAAATAAATATTCACGGGAGACCTTATAAAGTACCCCAGTATCATATTTTGATGAGTTTTTAGATAAAATCTTAATGATTAGATGATTCTATAAAAAACCTCACGCACAAAATCATTAAAAATGTTGTTATTTATTAGAATTTTTCAAAAACATTTTGATTCCATGCAAGAAAATATATAACCATATGTTTTAGAGCCACACAAAATAACATAACCATTTGTATAGTAATCATGCCTCAAACATTATGAAGATATCTTACGGGTACAGAACTGTCTTAAAAATTTGTCTACATGACGTGCGTGGTGCGAATATTGAACAATTTTTCCAAGTGCACTTTGTTTATAGACTCAAAACCCCCTAATTTTACTTAGTTAGATTGCCATGCCATCCGATTCCGCGATTTGGAGCTATAGCATCAGACTAATTTTTAAATAGAAATCTGGAAATCGCAGTCAATTTCGTAGTCTTATTAATCCATTTAAAATGTAGAGAAATGGAAGCCAAAATTTAATAACTGCATTTTTGTACTGGAGTTTTCTGGGCATGTTCAAAGGTGCCACACTTGTGGCATTTTATTACGCTGCATTATTTACGCTGCTAGATTACGATATAAAAATTATTATTGTGGGTCGGAAAATTTTAAACCGAGATTTTATGAGCGCTGTTCAAAGTTCCCCCTCTTCCCTATATATATATATATATATAGCAGGCAAAAAATAAATATAAATTGTATTTACTTCATATCACATAATAATATAAATCTATAAATTGATACTGAGAAGATGGCGTAATGACTTTCTCCATTTTAAAAACTTCTGTTAAAACAACTAAATGTAAATGCATTGAAGTATTAGCCATATTTCAGATATTATTTCCATTTGTACCAATAGGCATTTTCTTGCATCACTTTATGAATGTATTTCAATTATGAGATATCAGAAATAGTTATATACACAATTTTAATTATATTTGTTAACCAAGAAAACACGTTTGCTTTATACAAAATGTTCACATACAAATTTCAATTGCAACTTAAAAATTATTATTATTTTTTTTGTTGAACTAGCTGAACCCGTGGCGCTTCCCTGCCCTAGTATAGTTTTTAACCTATAGTCCAAGTAAATGTAATGTTTTTTTTAATAGCCCCAAAATACCGTTCAACTATAGATATTTCGGTTAAAATAATATTACATAATACAGTATTTTTCGGTTAATTGCACATCAAAGTTTGCACAAATTTTTGTTCAATTAACCGAGGAACCAATTATCCGAACCCGCTTACAATGAAATGAAATATTTTTGACCCATCATGAGGTTCAATTAAGTGTGGAAACCAATTAACCGTAGGTTCAATTAACCGAAAAATACTGTAATATAATTTTAAATCAAATTTGGATTGATTTGTCTCAATCAGTTGAAATAGTACCATACACAATAAATATTTTAGTACAATATTCACATGTTTTCCGTTAATTGTTTAAAGACCAATACAATCCTTCGTTTCCATTACCACCAACCTTTATGTCTGTCTGATTCTAAGTTTGAATTTTGTATCTTTGTTTCATTGCCAAAAAAGCGTTTCAAAAAGACCATATTATCAAAACTTGATAGTTTTAGCGAACCTAGATTTAGATCAATTCCGAAGATATGGTGGCAATGGAGTTAGTCGTTTACTAAATACATTCTCGAAATAATATCCATTTCAAGTCCTTATATTGTTGATATCTCCCTTATATTGTTGATGCATACTTTTTTATTATTTATAGGCACATACATAATTTACATGTAGGAAATAAAAAATGTTTCGTTTCTAGACTCAAAAACCGTAAAGAGATTTTACTGAGATTTTCACCGCACCTCATACCATCCGAGGGAAATAACATAGGCTATACAAACATCTAAAATTCCGCTTGGATGTGGAGTTATCGAAAGTAATCATACATCATTTAATTTATATTTTTATATCTTAAGAAGTATTACAGATTCCCACTTAAAAATTTTTCTGAGTAACTTAGTTACAAATACGCATCATCCCTATAAAAATGTGCACGATAGAATGGGGTAAATTTACTCTCAATTGCATTTAAAGTATCTATATTGGTTGCAGACAATAAAAATCGCTGAATAAACTCTACAGAAATTTTCGCAGTGTTATGCCATGCCATAGAAGTAAGGCAGGCAAGATAAACTTCCAAATTAAATATTCATAAATTGATTCATAAAAAAAAACATCCAATCTTAAATAAGCAGGAAGTAAAAATTTGGTCTATATCAATATTTTCCAACTAATCATTTTCGGTCCTATTATATTATTATCGGTAATGAGAATAACCACCAGTTAAATAAATCCGTTAACATCTGCTGTTTACCATCTCTCCATTATCATCACATAATATATACAAAATTGTGTAAAATGAAAAATTTGTTCTGTTCCCGTACTGCAAGAATCTACTACTTTTTACTACGATAACGAATTTTCCTTTATGGTATCGAAGAAAATAGTAAAATCGAGTAGATTCTTGCAGTCCGGGAACAGACCAATTATTGTCATTATAATTTTGGTCTTTAAACAATTAACGCAAAACATGTAAATATTGTACTCAAATATTTTTGTGTATGGTTCTATTTCAACTGATTGAGACAAGACAATCCAAATTTGATTTAAAAATATATCATTATAACCGAAATATCTATAGTTGAACGGTAATGTTCGATTTTGGGGCTATTAAAAAAAAAACATTACATTTACTTCGACTATAGGTTAAAAACTTTAGTAGGGCAGCGAAGCGCCACGGGTTCAGCTAGTTATTTATATTTTCTGATAAAAACACACGAATTTAACATGTGTACAAATGATCTATATTAAAATAAAATATTTTTCATAACTTAATAATATAATCAGATTATATTTAAGGAATGAAAAATGTTACCTTTTTCATTTCGCACCAACGGGTTTTTGTTCGTCCTGAGCAGTGCTATTCACTTTTGCATGTTTTATTAAATATTTAATTGTTTTATTTGGAATGATATTCACGTTTAATATTTGTCGGACATTATTATGTTTTTGTGGTGAAATTTCTTGTCATTGATATTAAATTCTCTCCTACATGCGAAAGGAAACGAGATATATATGCATGTCCGTCTGCCCATCTGATGTGTAATTGTAAGCAAAGTACAGGTCGCATTTATGATCCGAATTGGATGAATTTCGGTGGCGTGAAATCCGAATGCACATCTATACAAAATAAAACTATGTATTTAGTATTAGCTAATCTCACATTGTTTCTTAAATAATTGTCACTCAATATCTTCAAATACTATAACCGCATAAATGACATGTAATTTGGAACAAATTTGCTTTAGTAGTTACATATGCACACACAGATATACATGTATGTACGTATGTGATTTTGCAGAAGTTATGGTTACACCAGATGCTCACAACCACTTTAAAAATACAATATCGCCCAAATCAGTTAGTTAACCAATCCATCTGTCCATTACAGTTTTTTTTTTGTTTTTTTACGTCGGCCTTTACAAATTCCTTAGCACTCGCTTCTGTACATCACGGCGACAAGAGCAGCGGAGAAATTTTATGAAAGAAACGATCCGCGTCATCAAACCTACGGATGAATCGAATGAAACAAGTTGCAACATTTTTTTTTTTTTTTTTTGTTTTAGCAGCATTGAACTTAGAAGCCGAAGCCGGTGCTGCACAATTCAGAAAAACAAGTGGCAACCATTTTTCTTTCCTTTTTAAATTATTGCTTCTGCGAAATTAAGTGCAATCTTGCAATAAATGGATGTACGGCATTAGCAAATAACATGACTGAAAAGAAAACCGATCAGAACGACGGACGGAGAACGGAGAACGGGCGTACAAAGACACCCAGTCAACGAAAACAACAAGAAACTATCGTCGACTCTCGTTAGAGTACCCGGTTGTTTATATGGACTGCC